ATCCATCCATCCATCCATCCATCCATCCATCCATCCATCCATCCATCCATCCATCCATCCATCCATCCATCCAGATTTCTCCCTTTCTCCATATAGGCTATCATTTGATCCTTCACGCTCCCCATAGTTCTCCTGTGGCGCGAGCACAGGGCGGCTGTTATGCGCCTTTAGCTAGCATGCACGTTTCCTGTCGCTTGCGCGGTGAATCGTGCCGCCTGGGCTGTGCGGAGATGCAGGGGAAACCGTATCTGATGGGGAAACGCAGCTCGACGTAACACAGGTATTTCCATGTGGAAAACAATGTCGTGCTGCTGGAGTCCTCCTCACTCTCCATCTCTCTGTGTGTGCTGTACGTTAACACCCGGCAGCGGAACCAGAACCACAGTATCGCCTTTTGTTCCAAAAAAACTTGGCTTATTGATTGTAAAAGCAAAAACAAAATAATTACTAAATATATCTTGCAACAGCAGAAACGAAAAACAATTATTTAATGTTTGCAGCTCTAAGAAAGTGTTAAAAAATATATTTTTACAAAACCTCCCGTCCACACCAGACATTTACCAAAAAAATCCAACAGCACCCGTTGTGGTGGAATTATTCAATTAATGGGAGGGTCTAAGTGTGAAAAACTTCATCTGATTTTATGTTCAATGCCAATCCAGGTGGATGCCACATTAATGTTGTGGATTTTTATTTTATTCAATTCCCAGCCAGCTGGGATTTTTTATTTCTGATACTTTTAGATGTTTATTGCCCTCCCCGGTAGGGCTGGTAAATATCTTATTTAACAAGATATTATTTGGGCTATGCTGATGAAGATTCTCAGGCATCCAGGTCATAGTCATCCCTTAAAGTTAAAAAAATATCCACTGGACTTGGTTTCCAAGATTTGAAGACGTTTCTCCACCTCTCTAGGAAGCTTTCTCAATTCAAATGTCTGGATCCGCAGTGAGTTTGAGTCTTATATAGACAAAGCCTCTGTTTAAACAGAGGTGGTGGACTCAGATTCCAGTTTCCAAAAACTTACAATTCAGTTATAGAGTTGATCCCTTCCAGATATCACCACACCGCCACCCCATCACAGAGGAACAAAGCACCTACCCGCTCCATCCGGTGAACAATACCTCCTTAACGACGACTCTTAACAATCATAGACAGGTTTCAGGTATTACAGGAGACAATCCCCCCCTTTAACGACCGACCTTCAGAACCATAGACAAGTTTCAGATATTACAGGCTAACAATGGAACCAAACGCCCCACTGATTGGTTTCCATTTGCATGTTTACAAGCAATACAAGGCCTTGTCTATATAAGACTTAGGCCCCGTCCACACGAAGCCGAACCCTGGC